CCTCAAAGATTTGCAGGGGACACCACCACTCAGACAGTGACTGAACAAATATACCCTGGCAGGAGGTTTGCCTGAACCCAACAGTTGGCATCGCAAAGGCTCTTGGAAGAGGATTTCTCTGTGTGTGTGTGTGTGCGTGTGTGTGTGACATTTTGTTTTGTTTTGTTTTGTTTTGTTTTGTTTTGTTTTGTTTTTTCTTAAGTAAGAGAGAGCTATTGGGATGCTAACGGCTTTTTGGTGAGGTTATGGTCATTTCAGGTTTTAAGAGGAGTAACAGAGCCCTGACCCATGCTGGAAAGATGCCCAATGAACACTGCAGGGCTTGTTCTTTTGACATTATGAAAAAAAAAAAAAAATGTGCTTTTAAGAAGGACGGAAAGAAAAAGCAGCCTGGGAGGAGCACATTTTAACTAGGAATTGGAATAAACAAACTACTGATCGAACAGGCTAAAGTGCTGTCTGTGCAATGCTGGAAATATTTAAAGAACAGATTTTAAAGTTTTGTTTCTTCTTCTATTTATTTTTTAAAATATTAAAAAGGAAAAAAAAAAAATCCTGCATTTTGTGCTGATATCTGGACACTGACTTGGACCTGAGAGTGACCTGCAGGACAATCCCTCGCCCAGGGATTCCCCCAGAGCCACGATTGCTGGAGGCTAAGACACATCTTTCACAACTCATGTGCTCAGCTGAAAGTGAAGCTTACAAGACAAATTGTCTCCATTTTCCCCCTCTGCCCAGACAAATTAATCTTGAGAGGATATTTACTGCAAGCTTCAATATGGATGTAGGGGTTTTGAAGTCCCCATGCTTGGAAGACTGAGGCCAAGCCTGTGTTGAGCTGAAATTCAAACATGGACTTGGCCATCAGGGTTGGAAACAGCTAATGATTTTATTGTGCTTTTGTGTGTGTTGCTGTATAAAGCGGCTCTTTATGAGTCCCAGCTGGACCTGAACCACTCACAGAAAGATCAGGCCCTTGATTTTGGTGGGATTTTCTCCATCTTTGGTTGGCTGTACTAATTGGCTGGCGGGTTGTCCCGTCTTCCATCTGATGCCAGATAATGTGGACCAGCCTGCTTTGGAGCAGAAATGGGACCTGCCAGCAAAGAGGAGGCTGAAGCCATGTTGTGTTGAGGGAGGGGATGCAGGGGAAGGAGCCTGGGGTGCCTTTCCAAAATCCAGGCTTTGAAGGAGCACATGTCTGGGTGTGGGGCATCAAAGGGGGTGACAACCGTCCACCAAGACCTGGTGCTAGCAGCACTAATGCTGAGTGGATCTCAGTAGATGTGGGAGACCTCTCTTGGTCCTGTGCATTGGGCTGAGTTTGGCTGTTTTCAAAAAAGTCCTTATTGTAGGGTGGTGTGTGTTGTTCTGTTAAGCCCAGCTGTGCTCAATCCTCCAACATCAAAACACACCAGGCAGAGTCAGCAGCGCTGCTTACCAGACCTAAAGGTCCATGACATCCAACTGGGATTCAGCAGTGACTTTGAACCTCGGTTGCTCCACCAAATCAAATGAGATGCTCCATGAAGACACCCACCAGCCAGACAGGGCTGCTAGGAGGTCCCCTTCCTTCATCATCACCCTATCCAAGGCATCTCAGTGATGGGAGCATGGTTACACCAGCCAAGGCTACATTGGGAGACAAGCTGACTTCTCACCATTCATCTCTGATGTTTCTCTCCCCTCCCCAGCTGCCATGATCCAGCTGTCCCAGGGATCCCACCTGTCCTGAGACATATACCCATCATCCCCACCACCAAGGCTGCTTTTTGTGAGTCACCAGCCATCCTTGCCTCCCACAGCACACTCAATAGATGATGCAGCACAGCAATGTTTCCCAGTGCCGTCCTGGGCCAGCTTTCCCCTGCCACCTTCATCCTGCCATTTACAGCTCTTTTGGCCTCCCATGCACCCCACCATTTTGGGAGGTGCTGGGACTCTGTGTGCGTGTGCCTGTGTGTCATATGTATTAGCATCTGCTGGCCTCTTTGTATTCACATCAAGCAATGTAACATGAAAAACATATGTCCAAGCAAAATACTCTCATTAAAAAGCATCAAGTGGCTTGCAGGAGGCTGTTCTGCACTGCGCGGTTCCGGTGGCATCTCCCACAGGGAAGGGTGGGTTCAGGGGTCCCAGGTCCTCATTGGGAAAAAGACTTCTCCTCACAGAGTGGGACTCCTGATGAGAGTATCCAGCAATGAGAAGAAAATCATCAGTGTGCCTGGACTGGAAATTCAATTAAATCTTTTCTTTTGGGGTAAAAAAAAAACACTGGAGACCAGGGCATCTCCTTTGTTTGTCATCTAAGACAAGGTCTGGTTCTTCCACAAAGGCCAGTTTTGAGCTGAATCACTGGATGTAGGAGGCACTGGCTGAAAAGTCTCCATGTGGGAGTCAGACTACCAGCCACCTGCTTAACGGTGTTGCCAGACCCTTCATTGAAGTGGCTTTTTCTAATATGTATTGAAAGCAATGGCTGAGGGACCACAGCCAAGCCCATCATCTGGACACCAGGGGACAGGCTGAGGACCCCGTGGTGCACATCACCACTCAACCCACATACTCGTCACCTCCTGGTTTTGCTGCTCACATATCTTCACATGAATGGTACCCACAAAAAATTATGAACCAGCTATGGATGCGGAGCATGGGGAGGGAGTTTAACACCATCAGTAGCCTCCTCTCCCCAGGTTTCATAGATCTGGATCTGCTCAACACCAACCCACCAGGCTGTTAGCCCCTTTCCAAAGGAGGATGCTGCCTTTTTGCATTTCTAGCCTCTAAAATACTCTAAAATACCCTGTCACAATTCACCTGTGATAGCTTTATTTATCAAAACCACCAAGCTGTGTGAGGGTCATGTATGAGAAAATGTCTATAGCCTGATTCAGGTAAAGACTACTATTTTCTTCTCCTTCCCCAGTTTGACTAAATAAGAACAAAACAGGATAGGAGAGCTAAAATGTATTTGAAACAGCACTTGCAATTTACAAACAAACAAAAAAAAAAAAGTGTTCTTATTATCTGTTCAAGTAGAAATTTATGGCTTAAACCTGGGAGATGCTTGCATCTCCCTTGCAGAGCAGGGCATAAACCCCCTCCCTGCTCTGTGCCAGCAGCCACTGGGAGAAATGAAAACCGGAACAAATCCCAGGGTGCAGCACATGTATACAGACCTTTTAAGCAAAAAGCAAACAGGACACTTGGTGGGACCGGTTCACATGCAGCTTAATCCTTCTGAAGAAAAGTGGTGTACTCGTGGTCATAGTTCCAGTAGCTAGATGGTCAAGGCACCAAAAAGTCCTTCAACACCCATGGGAAGATACACCCTTGCCCGCAGCCAAAGGGAAGAGGCTGTCCTGTTAGGGTCTATGGCAGGGCAAGAGTGGGGAAAATAAAAACCTAATCTGCCCCTGTCTGGGTTATAGAAAGTTACGGATCCTAGTGATCCAGCCAGCAGCACTTGACCATCATGGTGGGGCTAGTGTGCTCTTGGGAATGGAGACCTGCAAGGAGGGAGGGAGGAGAGGCTCATCTGACAGGAGAAACATGGGCAACTGAGAATGAGGAGGACTGGGGGATGCTCGGATGTTTGCAACACGTGTAAAACACAGATGTGGAAACAGAGGGTTTCCGCACTGCAGGAGGGATTACAGGATGACTGCCCTGTGGGATGCCAATGGTCTCAGAGGAAAATGGTGACTCCCATGTAGCTGTTGCATCTCATCATGGTGCACAGCTTCTTCATGGCTGCAACTCCATCTGTGCTCCCCTACACTCCAGGGATCCCCGCCAGGCACAGGCTTGAGAGAAAAAGTGTAGAAGAGGAACCTCAGTGCTCATCTCCAGCAGGATCACGAAGACAAATGACTCCTCACCATCAGGCAGATCTGAGACCCACCCCAGCTGGCCCCCATGGCAGATTGGTGTTTGCATTGCAGGAAGGGGCAGCAGGGGAGGGTCTGCTCTCCAGTCCTCATTAAGATGGTAGGTCCACGTCCCCTCCCTGCCCGTGTCAGGGCGTGATGGAAGGCATGTCGCTGAGCTCTGGAAAAGGAGACGCATAATGAGCTACTGAAATATCTGCAGTTGCTCTGACAGCCATCATGAGCAAACAGAACCTGGCTGGAAATGCACACAGCCCAGGTTGGGTCATGTTATCTGGATGATAGCTCCATGGGTGCAGAAACCTGGTGCATGGGAGGGTCCCCAGCCAATCCCACCCTGCCCTGCCAACTCAAAAGTGCTCAGCACCTCTGGCCTCTCTTTTCACAGCATGCAATGCTATTGGAGTAGATGTCTGAAGATCTCTGCCCCAACCTTTGCTTGAAACTGGGCCAATTAGATTGGACTGCTCAGGGATTTGAACATCTCTGAGGGTGGATATTCCCCACCTGTCTGAGCATCTGGTTCCCCTTTCATGGGGAAGATTTCTTTTTTCTCTTTATATCTAGCCAAAATTTCCAAGGTTGCAGCTTGTGATATTGTCACTGCACATCCAAGAAACATCTGGCTCTGTCTTCTCTACACCCTCCCATTGGATGGGATAAGGTGTACCTTGACCTTCTCTCCCACTGTGCAAACCCAGATCTCAGATGCCCCATCCTCCAGCTTAGTCGTCCCACTGAGCTTTCTGCCATTTGTCACAATATGCTTGGTACTGGAGAGCCTGAACTGGACCCAGTGTCTAGATGTGGCCTCACCAGTGCTGAAAAGAGGGGAGAAATCACTGCCACCTGCACCTGAGACTTGAGACAACCCTGGACACAACCGTCCTTCACCACAGCATGGGCACCCATCACCCACCCATCAGGACCCCGGTGCACCCATGGAGATGGCCCTGGGCAGGATGCAGGTCCTGGCTCTCCTTGCTCTGCTCACCTGTCCTGAACTTGTTGTAGGTGCCGCTCTCCAGCATCGGGCCACCGTCATGGGCACAGCAGGAGAAACTTCGCTCTCGCCACCTGCACGGGACAAAGCACCTGGGTCAGGCCAACACTTGCTCCTCACAGTGCCCTGGTGCTCTAGACAGCTTTTTTGTACTTTGTCAGGACGGGAACTGTCCTGGTATTTTGGGATATGCTCAGGTCTTTACCAAGAAGGGACTCCAGCGCATGGCTGATGTCTAAGCATCCACACTTCACACGTGCAACAACATTTTGAAGGCAACTTTGTAACTAAGCCCTGTTTTCTAAGAAATATTTGAGCTCAAAAGCCCCAGAAATGGTTGCTGTCTCTGGTTCTTAGGCAGCCAGGAAAATTTAAAAATTGTGATTTTGGTGCATTCATAAACCTGACAAACAAGACTATGCAGGGCTCTGAGGCACTGCTGATGGCCCTTTGCTCCCAGCAAGGCTGGGAATGTCCCTGCTGCAATGCCAACCCAGAAGAGGTTGTCATTTGGCTGGATCAGAAGCATCTTCAGGGCCCTGGGAAATGCACACACAATGTGAACATGAGCCTGAAGGAGAAGGGCATGGGAAGGTCTGACGGTGGTGGTGATGCTTTGCAGGGGTGACTGTGAACCACTCTGCAACTGCTAAAGCAGGACCTGAGGAGAGCAGGGCAGGGTGAGAGGGGGAAGGAAGGGAAGGAGCCACTTTGCTTTGGTAAGGGGAAAGCCTGCATGCCCAGCAAACGTGCCTGTACAGCTGCTAGTCCATCACCTGGCTGTACTGCTAATTCATTTCTCCACCATCCCAGAGCAAAATTAGAGATGTCACTCTTTCTTATGCCAAAGCAAGTCATGGTTACAAGCAATACAGACTGCTCACCCAGGAGCTTCCTGAACTTCCCCCTTGCTGTCACCTGCAACACAGTTGTGCTGCCAGCACTCCTGCAGAAAACCCCCCTGGGATGGCTAGTCTGGTCTTTCCACCCATCCATCGCTGGCCAGCTGAAGAGCTGTGCCCAACACCTCCTGCTTTCCTTGGGCACCACTGGGATAAGAGCACAGATAAGTTCTTCATCCAACCATGGCAGAGCAGAGCATCCAGGAGTGTGTCTGTCCCATGAACACCAGATTTCCCAATTATGGGAGGAAACAAAATGTGGTGTTTGTGACATACTCAGACATTTTCATCTTGGAGGATGGGTTTCCTCGGGGGCTCTGGCATACGCAGAGTCACAGGATGCTCAAATATTAATATTGAGAGCTTTCTTCCTAAGTTAGTCCAATGCAACAGTGTCTAAATAGTAATAGTAAAAAAATCAGTTCCTTTCTCAGTCCATGAGCTTTGATAACTGGTTTATGTTGTTACTGTAAATCCACCAGGTTTCCACTGAATCCTGAGGGTAGATGTTGCCTGAGCTGCCAAAATGGAAAGGGAAAATGAGAACAAGCAGGAGAAGCAGAGAGGTTTTTGGAGACATTCAGGGCTTTCTTCTAGCTCCTGAAGGGAAATGTAATGTTCTCAAGAGTAGTTTTAATCCTCCAGATCACCTGAAAGCATCCCTTGTTCCCTCCACCTGGCACAAAAGATCAGGTTAGGATGGCCATGAGCAACTTGGTAGTTACCAGTGCAGAGCAAAGATGAGTGAGATGAAGAGCGCAGAGGTCAGATCTGTCAGGATCCACATGATGTTGTACTGCTGCGGAGTCTGGAAGAGAACAGCAGAGGATGTGTCCACCACAAAATACCCTGAGATTTGCAAAAAAGTTGCCCAAGTTCCCTCATGCTGCTCGAATATGGACATTCAGCTGTAGGTTTGCATGTGGAATAACATCCCTCAGGTGTTTAAAGCATTTAGTGGCATTTCAAACTGTCCACTCACCAGTGGGTGTTGCTGTCAAATCACCATCCTTCATAAAAACAGGTCTGTTTTGTGGCCAAGAAGATTGTAGCGTATCACAGAGAATATAACAGGGACCTCTTGTTTGTACAGGCAGGCCCTATATATCTTTCTGCTTCCCTCCAACATTAACATCAACTGGTGACATTTCATTTTCTCTAGCAACATTGTCCTTTAGTGAACACCACAGAGGGTCCAGGGTGGCTCCTGATTTATGTCTAAGAGCATCTGAAGATTAATCCTTAGACTGGACCTCCACCCACCCTCAGAATGGACTGAAACACTACAATTGTCTGGATGGGAGCATCTTAAAGTCTACTTTAAGAGTGTGAAGCCAGTTAATCAAAGTAGTAACCTTTAGGCTGCAGGTACTCTGGTAGGACCAGTGCCTTAGGTGCTCCTTATCCCTATAGGTCGTCCAAGGCAAAATAGGGAATAGACAAAGTATGTGAAAAAAATTCCTTCCAGTAAGGAAGGGTTATTTCCACAGGTGTTTCCTTCGGACTTGTGGAACAAGAACAAGTTTGAGAAGGGCAGTGGGAAGCCCTGGGAAATGGAGGAGATTCTGACATCAGCAAAGTGCTTCAAAAGCTTAGAAATGGAAAACAACATGCATCGGATTGTGACCTCAAAGTCCCTTCCTTTCTCCCACTCAAGTCTCAATATGACTTCTTTTCCCTCACATCAAGGTCTAAGTTGCAAATTCTAACAAGCAGGGAGAAGGGTATGGTGATACCTGGAGTGGCTCAGAGGTTCCAGGTGAACCAAATTTCAATTCAAATCTTTTTCATGCAAAAGGCCCTTTATCTATGCATGAACAGGCCGTGGTATCCAAAGGCAATCATGAACATCCCAACCCTACTTCCTGCTCCTGAGAAGGGGAGGTTTTTTGCTTACCATGAGGAAGAGTGGCTGGCTGAGATTCTTCAGTGTGTGGACGGCATTGGTGGTCACAGAGTGTGCCCCAGAGCACCATGCCAGGGAGAAAAGCCATGGCTCATTGACCACGTAGAGGTTGGTGGTGATGTTTGCCTCAGCGTATTTCCTATAAAAGACCACAAGGCAATAGCCTTACTTAAGCAAGGAGATTAGTACTTCCTTTGGGCTGAACCAAGGAGAGACAGCAATTTTCTGTAGGAAACGCTTGCTTTAGGACCTAGATAAGGAACAGAAAAGAAAGCCAACCAGCCAATAATTAACCATTCACAATTGGTCAATACAGAATAGCTGATCTGCTGGAAGCAGTTAAAATGTCCAAAAGGTCAAAACTTTGCTTACCCTTCTGCCACATGAATCAATGTAACAATGTGTTTGTAATCTCTCAATAGCAAGTTCAAAAACTCCTCAAAGCTGGCTACTCATGTTTGGTACGTTTTCTGCATCAACTCATCATTTTTCAGGTTCTTATATATTATTGAATCTTAATATGAAGTAAGATCATACTCTTTATAGTGGTAAGGAATGTATCATCAATATCAGCATTTGTAAAGCTACCTAGGATCTATCCAGGGTTTATCCAAATAGAACTACCTAGGATTTTATACCCTGTGAAAATTATAATTGAGAAAACATGAACATTACTTTCATCCAAGGGATTAAGCTTGTTCTCTTTTCTCTTTTTCAATGTTTTTGTGCACTGGAAAGAACAAAAAGTCCTATTTATAAAAGGAGAGCTGGACAGGTAAGACTGGTTTTTTCTTTTTTTTTCTTTTTTTTTTTTTTTTTCATAGGAGAGAACTATTTTGAAAAGTCCTGCAATGAATGTGAAGCCTTCTGTCGGAGAGATGACATTTTCAGTGTGTCACAAGCAACAGAGTACTGGTAGTAACAGTGACAAGAAATTAAGTCTCCAAAACACAAGCTACAAGAGGGTTATGTTCTCTCACCACAGCATTATGTACTCACATTGAGGTTTGTGGAAGAGCCACGGGAGGTTAAATAATTGTTCATTCATGGGACTGAAGATGGCATGAATAGAAAGACAAGAAATCAGGACACAGCTGTGTTATTCTACCAGGAAGATCCTCAGATCCCTGTCAAATAAATACAGACTTGGGGTAGAGATGTGTGATTACATATGCCACCTCTTGGTCACACACAGGATCAACAGTAGGAGTGAACTAGGGTCCTTCACTCCCAAATTGCAAGAGGGCTGGCCAGTTGATCTAAAGGAGCTCTTCCCAAAATGCTGGAGCTGGTCACTGGAGGGAGACATTGCCACATGCATGAGGCAAACATAGTCTGGACGCAGTCCGCCAACTGTACTTGGGGCTGAAACTGCAACCTACCGGATATCTTCACTGGACATCTCAGTGTAGGCCAGATTGAGTTTGACAATATTGTCCATCAATAGGTCTTCAACTGGGGCCTTACTGCCAATTGTCTGCTGAAACCCAGGAGCAACAGATTGAACAAAGGATCTCATGTCATTCTCCAGCCACAGGACCTGCAGGCAACAAGAGGAACAAGTGAATTCACAGCAGACATGCTATTATGGCCTGCCCTTCACACAAACCCAGTAAAGATAATATCTTGAGGGGCTTAACCCAGCCTGCCAAATAACATGTTCCTTTCAGTGATCAAAGAACATTTGGGTGCAGGGTTAAAACTTGCAAGTCTCTTTCATCAAGAAATAAGTAATCACTGTTCCTTGCTTATCATCTTGAAATCAGTGAGTACGTTTCACACAGCCCAACAAAAGATGCTGTGTTTGAAAAGAATGAAAAGACAGCTTCAGTTTATGGGAAAGTCAACAAAAAATATGCTGTTCTCCCATTCTCCCCGCATGGGAGATCTTCTGCAGACACGGATCGGTGTAACTCCCCAGACATTGATGGGTACATAACCTGATCCACATGAGTTTAACATTCATCCATTGCCAGGAGAAGGAGGAAGGCAATGAAGGCTCCCAACTCTATGTATCTTAGTTAAAGATAGGAGTTTCTATGCAATATATAATGCAAGCATGGGTGGCAAGGAGTAGGTTGCCACTTATTACAGTGGTGGAAGTATGCTGTTTGGGGACTAAGGCATCAGCTGGTATATATGCTGGCTTATTTGCCTGTGCTGCTGTAGGGTTACACTATTTTGTACCTGCTGAGAAACCAATAGTAGGAATACACTCCAAATGATGTCTCTTAAAGCAAGTTAAATGCAAAGGGCTGGACTTTATGCAGGTGAAATCATGCAGGGTATGACCCCAAAGTTCCAATTCGAAGAGCAAGGAAAAAGGGATATGGAGGACTGAGGCCACCCTACCAGATTGGGTCTAATTCCTGACTCATTGAGGATGACTTCCAGGGTTCTGTTGATCCATGAGTTCCTGTAAGGATGTTTCTCTGGAGGGCGGTAGAGATCAAATATCACAAGTTTATTCTGACTGTCCGCAAGGCGCAAGAAATTACTTAGCTTGTAAATTGACTGATTCATTGCCTGGTTTTGATCTGCCCTTGACAGTGAGCCCATGCATGAAAATGGTTTGTCCTAGAAATAAACAGATATAAAAAAGGAAATCAATCAGGCAGTTGACTCTGGGAGTCAGATGCATGCAAAAAACTCATACCTCTGAGGGAAAAAGCTTTACATCATCCCTCAGTAAGTAAGGATATTTTACTTTGTTTAACTCTTCTACCTGAGAAACAGGGAAAATTAACCCAGGCTGTGACGACACTGCTTCTGGGACCTAAATCACATAGTTCACAGCTAAGCTCTGCTCTGCTTCTCTGTCCCACCATGTTAGCTGTGACTATTATCCACAACACCTTGCACAAGTAGCTCTTGTCTTCATCCCCCAGCCTATGTGTGCTGCTGCTGCCATGATAAGTAGCCACAAGAACACCCATCAGCCAGTTGTTATAGGTCTTCTAAGCCTTAAGTCCAACTGGACAAAGCAAGGAGACCCCAACTGAAGGATTTCTACTTCTTTGAATCTTGGCTCAACCTGTAGTTTCTCTCCTAATATTCATACTATTAAGTAGTAGCCAGCTGGTGTGTCTTCTACATCCAGTTGATGATAGTCCTATATGGCACTTACCTTAAGGAACCACATTCCAGCATTCAACTCCTGCAGGGTATCCCAGGAGAACAATGCCGCATTTTGAGCAGTGTGATTGGGATAGACCTCCTTGATGTTAGTTGTCCTCCTCAAGGTGCTGTCATGCATGAGGAAAGGAACCCCATCATAGCTGTTGGAAAGCAACAATTAAGGTCACCTGGGGTGCAGGTTTGTTCATGGCTTAAGCAGATTCATGCTAGATCAGAATAATATGTCGGCCACTGTGAATGCAGCAGTATGGCCTCCATCAGTGCAGAGGGTGGGATAGGGAAGAAGGCTGAGGCTCAAGATATCAGGTTATTTCCAGCTTAAATACTGCTGTGTGACCTTGGAGAATTCATGCCTGTCTGTGCCTGTTTCCTCAGGGGCAAAGTGGAGATAGTGCCTGCTAGGCCCCCCAAAAATGGATAATAACTTATAGCTGAAACCTCTTTTTGCTGACACTGAAGTGTTTCTATGGTTTTCAGAGGACTGAAGTCTAAATAGACAGTGATGGAAAGGCAAAATATTCTCATAGGAAGGTCTACATTAGTAGAACATCTAAGCATCAGTATTTTTCTCATTCAGTGCCTGGAAACTGCTCGTTCTGCACAATATGTTAGCAATTCATGGTAATAGGTTCCCCAAACAAAAGCAATTAAAGATCTAATAATTAGGGCAGTGCTGTCGCAAGCCTGAACACAATTTTCTCTTGGTTTGTAGGCCTGATACAACCCTCACTGTGGCCTGGAAGTCATACTAGCATAGGCACTTGTCTTTATACTCTGCAAAGCATTTAAAATATACTGTAGAAATGATTGCTAAATCAATAGCTACAGCTTATCGACTTGCCCAAGAATAGCCATGCTCTACAGGCCCTGTAATCACATGCCAGCTGAGGGACTCTGTCCCAGCCATCGGTAAAACCCAATTGCCTCGAGTTGCATGTCTCCAAAGACAACTCTTAGAAGCAGCAGTGTATATTCTGTGAGACGTGATGTTTTCCCCTTACCTAATGGTGACATCTGTTTCAAGACCATCCCCACCATGTTCAATTGTTTTCTGAAATGACATCTCAGTATTTTCTGGTGCCAGCTGAAAAAAAAAAGGCGCATGAACAGACTATTTTCAAACACAGTCTGAAGGACTCCGTAAGTACTTTCTGTCTCTTTGCAACACCCCTGGTTTTTATTGAAGGAACATCATTATCCTGTTAAAGTCTACTGTTTGTTTTCTTCCACTCTAGCCACCAAGCCCATCTTGTCTCTCAGGAACGGTGTTATTCTTGTTAGCAAACCCATGCAGTGATGCCTTTAGCATGTAGTTACATATGGAAATTTCTCCCCTTCCACCCTCCACAGATTTAATGGAAAAAAAAAACAGATGATGATGATGATGATGAAGGTAGCAAAACATAGGATGAAGAAATTATGTAAAATAAGTTCTCCAGACCTACCATTGGTGCTCCACGGTGTCCAATGAGGGCTGGCTTTGGTCCAAGTGTCCCCATCTCTCTGATGCAGGGAGAGTACATCCCCAGAGGTATCAAGAAAAGAAAGAGAAGGATAGCCAGGTATGGACCAACAATTATCACCTGAACAACTGAAAGAATTTGAAGGAGGAAGGCTAGAGTTAATCCATGTGGTAATGTACAGGTTTGCCTTGCGGCTTGACTTTCAATAGAGCCCTGAAGCTAAGTAGCTGCTGGGTTTTGTCCCATCCCTTTTTTCATCCCTCCTTCCCCTAATTTTCACTTTCTCTCCAAACAATGCAACCCAGGAAAACAAACTGGTCAAAACAAGGATGTGGGCTAAGTCAGGACTGCAGCTTTTGTGCTTTAATTACATCTCACTATGCCTTACAACAAGACATGTCTTTAATTTCTTTTCATTTAGAGGTGGTGTAATGAAATATCCCTCATCTATAGAAAAACAATCCTCACCAGGAGGATGCTGGGGTTTTTTTCTTATTCAGACAAGAACAAGCAACATTTTGAAGATTCATCCACAGTGAAGAAGAGGAGGAACTTTTCCCCTTCAGCCATGTTATGTCCCCTTAAGGTGAATACTTCCCTGGTTCATACAGATTGCTGTCAGTGACCTTGTGTGTGTGACCTACAGTATCCTACGGACTCTGACTGCATGGGCACTGTATCTCAGAAACTCACCAACTCATTACCTACAGTCTACAGTCTTCTCTGCAGTCTGTTGACACATTGCCCAAGAGGCCCAGTGATCCTTCACCCCAGGGAACAAAACAGTTCCTCTGAGAAATAAGCACCTATGCACCAACATCTCTTTCTTGAATGGGTACAACCACCGCTCAGCACATTGTGGCAGTGGCTCTGAAGGAACCTGGGCTTACATCAAGCTGATGTATTGAGCTGAGAGTCCATTAGGCATGGTGGACTGTAATATCTAGAGTCTCAGCATATGCCCGCCCCCAACCTCCACAGCTTTAGTTCAATAAGAAAAATCCTGGCCAGGAAATAAATGCCTTCACCAGTCCATTCTGTCTGTGATTTTTATTACAAATCAACATTTGTAGATGGGTGTCATGTAGATAATTTTGGCTATATGGAGAGACTAGGTCAGAGAAAAACAGCCAGTCCCAGAGCCAGACTCTTTTGCAGTTATTCCTGGAATCTGACTGTGTCCTTAGACTACTTGGTCACATTTCTGGGAACTGGACAGCAACTTCCTGTGGGATAACACTAGGAGATGACAAAAAAACACTCCCCCCACTATCTCTGGCTCCTATCAGTGGTCAACTGTCACTGGCTGCTTTCTCCCACAGAGGGCTGAGCAAATTTCCATGCATGACTCAGAACATGAGTGCTTCTGCTGATCTCCTCCATCTAAAGGCAGGTCAATGCCTTGGTATAGGTCAAAACTGTGCAAGGGATCATGCAAACCAGTAACGCACCTGGACAGCCACAAGACAGTACACAGCCCAAGCTCCAGCCCTGCTAATTTCCCTGGGATACACAGAATTTAAAAGTCTCCTCCAGCTGTAGTGCAGGTGTGGGAGGAAAGGGTTCCTGCACACCTGTTCTCCCACACTAATATACATCTGTCATACAAGGAACAGGAAGCAGAGCTACTGTACCTTTCTTATCTGCTCTGATGGTATGAAGAGCCACGGGCCAGGAGAGGAGGACCATGATGGTTATTGCTCCTATGTGGAGATAGGGAGCTGTGATCTAGCAAAGAGAGAAAAGGATTTTAGTCAAAGGATGAAGTGTGATAGATGGAAACAAACCCCAACACAGCCACAGCCTTCCACCTGGATGGGCTCCTACTGCAGATACCAGCACTTCAACCTCTCTCCTGCACTTGTGTTGGATCCACCAAACAATTCTGGAGTTGGAGGAGAGAGATGTGCCCCCAGCCAGGACAGTTCCCCAGGCAGAGGAGTGCTCCTCATTGTGCTACACAGCTATCCTTTCTCCTAAATCAAGCGAAAGAGACATGGTTGCCCTCATCCATGAGGACATAACTGCCATTACTGCTATGCCATAATCTGTCAGTATCTTCCAGGGAGCAGCCAGTTTAATCCAACCTAGCCCAATCCAATCCCATCCAGGTAACAGTCATCTCCGTACCACGCTGCAGCTAAATCATTTAACTGATGTCAACAGATCTGAGTGATAAAATGTGGTATTTATATCTGTATAGAATTAACTATTGTGATATAAGAGAAGTAGTTAATCTGGTATGTTTTATCATGGACTTTATTAGACTCCTATACACCTTGCTGTACCTAGTTTCACATATTAAAAAAATAATAATTAATTTCAAAGCATTTAATTCACTTGCATTAATTACATTTTTTCTCATAACTTTTAACTCAATGTGTAGATATTGTTCTTGATTTACTAACACAAAACAATATATTCATCTACTGCTTATGATATATTAGATAATACCTATTGCTGGGCATATATAGTAATTGGACTTGATTTCTTTTATCCTAAAGATTAAATAAGAAGATCAGAAGCTAAGAATCTCTTCTGTGCTCATCGTGAATGCATGAGCAGAGCTGGAAACCAAGCAGAAATATTTTGTTACTTGTATAGACACTGAATGACACACGTTCCATAAAACTAGGCAAATCTGTCAAAGAAACCAGTCCACCACTTTCTCACGATTGTCAGACCCCCGTGGTTTCTGTTCCATCTAGGACTGGGAGTTATTAAGGTATATGCTAGGAAAAAAAAAAAAAAAAAAACAAAACAAAACAAAACCAAAAACCTATCCAGGTGCAAGCCTTTCTTACTGCTTAGCCCATGCATGATTCTCTAAACTGGAAGGGTTGAAGAAAGCAGCAATCATTGAGAGATGTTACTGCATGTGATACTCTCTGTCCCAGTCACTTGATACCAACAGCTTTTGATCAGAGGCAGGGTTCAGTTGCATAAACAGAGGTGCCATGTGAGATGTCCAGGCTATTTGAGATAGCTTCACAGGGCTAATGGACATGACACAGGATCTACAAGAGATTCATGTCTTTTGGGAACAGCAGTGGGAGGCCATGTGAAGCATCTCAAAGGGCATGAACAACCAAAATAAACAGCACCTGTGGGGAATCCAAAGGCTCTTCTGTCTCCTCCCTTACCTCCCCTGGAGTCTGTAAGGGGGAGCAGAAGCTGGTGATTTCTCATTACATTTGCCAGTGCATAGCCCAATGGTTATCAAACTCTGTAGAGCACAAATGTGCAATTAATCACACCCTACAAACACCACATCTGTGATTCCTCTTCCATTCCATATGCATTGATCTCCCAACATTCACAAGCAGTAAGCCACATGGGAGAGAGGTGATAGGCCCAAGTAACATCTGCATGGCAGCAGTGGAGTCAAAGGCTACATACTTCTTCCTTCCCAATATGTTTGGAGACCTGGGTGCTCTAACACTAAACAGCACTGGGCAGCTCTTGCCTCCATCTTCAGTTCTGGTGAGAGTTGAGGAGGCCATCAGACCGTGCACTGTGACCTCCTGCATCCAGCATGTTGTCCCACCTGACACCAGCATTCCCTACCTGGTCCCCAAAAACTCAGCTGTATCCTGCCCTCAGGAGATTAAGCTCTTCTGAATCACAAAAGACTGAAGTTGTGCTAATGCTGAAGTTGCTGAACTGGCAGAGCTGATTAGGGAGCAAGTTCTTGCTCTAGCAACCCTACCCCCTAAGGGGTCTGCTTTACCGGCCCTGAGCACCTGCAAATTAACACCTACAACAAATGAGCACCTACAGTATTTTTTTGGAAAAACAAACAAACAAAAAAAAAGGATATGACTTCCCAAACTGAGACATGCTATATCAGATATCTTGAAACTCAACCTCAGGTCTTGGCGTCCTTTCTCCCAGCAGGAAATGTTAAGTCATAATAAAAGTTTACCCAAAACCACACTCACTGCCAGGAAAACCCATGTGAAAAACATCCACCATAGCGAGTATTTTCTATCAATTACCACAAAATACTTCTATAAACAAGTTGTTCTTTCAAACAAACCTCCCAGCCACACTTACCTGGAATGACAGGCGGACAGTATTCCACTGATCTCCCCAGAGTACCGATAATATGAAGAGGGCTGTGATAGAGAAGCCAAGGACAAGAAAAGTCCCAATCTGAGGAGACAAAGGCATAAATCAGCGTCAGCATTTCTGCACAGGGTGTGTCATCCATTTGACTCATAGGCTTATTTAAGCAGCTTGGATTTGATAAATCTAGGATGCATGAGCTGGACTATGCCAGTTCAGAGATCAAGCAATCCAATGAGACTAAAACCCAGCCAACAGTGCTATCAATTGGCTTTCCTGTAAGCAAGAGTGATATTAAGAGTTGGGTACCCAACTAAGTCAGACCTCAGGGCTCCCTTTATAACCACTGGAGAAAGAGAGGAATTTCCAGAGGTGATCCATTCCTGCTTGATTTATGATGAAAGGTATCTCTCTCTCTCTCTCTTGATGTAGATGGAGCCTAGATGATCAGCTTACATTAAATCCCTAAACTGCAGATGGCTAAATTCAGAATTAGTGAATTCCACCCAAAAGAGACAGCAACACAACTTCCTTATGCTACGAGCTGCTTTGCCACAGGCTTCAGCAGCAGCAGTAAACACTTCCATAGTTGAGAGTTGAGTTCACTTTTTAACCAGAAAAGTGAAGAGGTAGCTCAAACTATTCTTCAGCTTCTTGCTCAGTTTGGTACCAGCACAGTAGTGTTGGCAGGCTCTTCTTGGTACATCATCAATCTGCTGAGAACTAAGTGCAAGTAGAAATAGGAGCAAGGCCCTAAACATTCTTCAGGGGAATCCTACAGATCAACACCTTAATAATCCATCCCTAATCTCTTCCACCCAGGGATGCAGTCTTCATTGGTTTTTTTTAAATGTTTCTATGTCTTTCTGATTTTTCTGGAAGCCAATTTTCAGTAGCAAAGGTGATTGTGATTCCATTATTTAAATGAAGAAACACAGGATCGAGTATCTGCACATTCAGCTAGTCCCTTCCACCGCAAGATTTGCAATCATGTTGCATTCTCCCCTAAATTGCATGGCTAGATGTTTATTTGTTAGATGCCTCACATAGCCTCAAGAATTTATTAAGAAAGGTGATTCTAATGCATCATTTTGCAGCAACAGCTCTCCGAGGATTTGTTTCTGCACCTTCAAAACTCCAGGTGGCATTTCCCAAATCCCCCCAAAGACCAAAAGGCATAAGACACCGGGATGCCTTGGAAAAGCCAGCTTTCTCTTCCTCAGAGATAGCAGCCACTTTTTCCACTGCTGCTGGAGCCTGCTGCAGAACATTATGTTGTGCTTGTCATGAAAACTTTGCTTTTGTTTTCATGTTACCACATGTAGACATGTCAAATATAGACACCTTCACCTGAATGAGTCACTGCAGGCTCCGTTTAGAGTCAGTGGGGAAAAAAAGTACTTTAAGTGTGATTCATCTCATCTTAATTTAGATGTCCATGACCAGCTGGACGAATTGCAACCTCAGAGGATTCATTTCCCTTCACTGACTGCGAAGGGAGATCAGGTGATCAGCTCAGGTGGAGATATCAGTCTTAGGGGTATCTGAAGTCTCCTAAAATTAACCTCTTCCCTTGCTTCCTCCTCTCCCATAATCTAAGATGCTTTTCATGCAGAGAAACACCACAGACTCGATTGTTTTAAAGCGTGGATTAGAGTTACCAAAAAGCCCCTACTCTCCTCACCTTGTGACTCCAGTGTAGGTACAGCTGCTGACCTTCTGCAAGCAAGCACATCGCTAGGACCTGGGAAATCAAGAAGAGATTGTTTGCATCTTGGAAGAAGACGATTAAATGTGTTCAGTGAGGTACTTCCGAAATTATTTTTGCATTGGGAAGCCACTTTACATTAGGTATTCCTGCACAATGTCAAGGCTGTTAGCAGGACAAGTGTATGGAGACAAGTGTTTATTTCTACAGTAAAAGTGCTTCTGAAATGGCCAAGCACAGACAAAGGCTGCCCTGCAGGATCAAAGCCCTTTCATGGGTAACAGATAATTTGGCACTTTGGAATACACACTTTCAATGACTTTTCTTTGTGAGTACGAATTCTGAAAGAGGAATGATGACCAGGGTCAACTGCTATGGTATGAACCAATACAGCACTAACCTTGCCTATTTTCTGTGCATTTGTGTGATTAGAGGCATATCAAGCATGGGAGAGAGGTCAGGGAATAAAAAATGATTCCAAGGCACCACAAAAATACAGAGCAGACAGCAAAGGAGACAACACTTCCACCATAATCACAGGAAATGCAAGAGAAAGGCACATCTCAGAACAGGTCAAACTGTCTTGGAGATTAAAAGACTAGTTTTTGGTGGCTTGCACATTCCTTCCCTCCAAAGGCAAGCTGGAGCCCTTGGGGACGGTTCCTGTGAGGCATAGTGCAAACCCCAGCCAGGGCAGGGGACAACCCAAGAAGCCTTGAACACCAAGAAAAAAAGAAGGAAAAACAGTCCATAGCTCTGATGAAGAGTTTCTTCAAGTTGTTCCAGATCTAAGCAACCAATGAACCTGGTGATGAACGTCACCAAGAGAAATATCTTGCTGCTATGAAAACGCTCAGGAATCTGACTGCATGGGGCAAGCTTCCCAACCACTGTAAGGGACAATTTGGGAAGAAGTATCACAAGATATCTGGGTTTAAAGAAAGGTATCTGTTACTAGACATCAGTGTTCCACTGAGCAGAATCATTTATGATTCTGGTTGCTTCAGACTGTAGCACAGTGGGATTGTATGAAAACAGGACATATAGTTGTAGGGGAAGAAGCTCTTCTCTCCCAAAACACAACTACAAAAAATGTAAGCTCTTGCCCATCCAGCTCCAAATACACTCTCTTTCCAGGATCACACTGATTTGATGCATGATATAAACACAGCAGAGTATTCAGATCAGCATTTAAGTGCTTATTGACATGTTAGCCTCCTTTAATCAAACCCTATACCTAGTGCATGATGAGTAACCATAGGAGCAGTTCAGAGAGGATTGAATTACTGCTAAATACCTTAAACCAGCCCCATTTAAATAAGCTATTTCAGAAAAAGGAAGATAAAAGACACTTTGCCTCTTTTCTGCAAGCAATGTTATACAAAGACCTGGTCCTTGCCTAAAGTACAGCCAAATACTTATTTCACAGGCCATGCTCAGCCAGACTCTCACCTACTACTGTAGTACAGCCTTTGTATGAATGATGCATCACATCTCTGAATGACATCGGAAGTGAGCTCATTTTCATGGATGGAAACAACATCTCCTTATCAGTTTACAAGAATAATCACCAGGTTTCATCCTCAGAGGGTGAAAAGGAACTCTTGCAGTTGTACCGCTGGTTACTGTAGGAGAAAACATCTTGCTGGACCAGTGAGCTGATGTCATGTGCACCCCTGAAGCTTAACATCTCAAGCCACAATCATCTAGTTTCATCCTACACCTCAAAAGCTGCCTCGGGACTTGTCCAACATGCTCTTCCACAGAGAGCAGCTGCCTTTAGCAATGTCCCACATGCTTGCACCTAGAACTGCTTCCTCAGGCAAAGGGACAACCAGCATCAGTAGGTCTGTCTCCTCCAAACTGCTTCCACATATATCCTGGGTTTACCTATTACAAGTAATCAAACATGGGCTTAGGTGACCAGTATGTTTCTGACTAGTATTGCTAAGGCTAGAGCCAAGGTCCTTCTTGCCAGCCCTGTCATTTCTCTGAATCTTACAGCCTCCAACACTTGCATTCTTCTCTTCTTTAGTATGAGGTGTGGAAGTGTCTCCCCTCCACCATTTACTTGCAAAGTGGCAATTAAGGGATGCTTCCCAATGGCAAGACAGATGGATTCACTGCACGGAGGATTGCACCTCTGTCTCCCTCTTTCTGAGTGGATGCACTTGCCACAAGGTTATGCTGTAAAAGGATGAAAGGATGGACAATAGATGCTTCGCCCCACTCTACTTCAGCATGGGAATGACCTTGTACTTGTTTCAATATTGCTGGTGAGGCTTAGGCAGTCTCTGAGCCTACCACCACAAGGATGTGAAAGCAGGAACTTAGACACCCAGGTCACCTGAAACATCTGCTCACTTACATGTTCATAACAGCAGAATTCAGGTCCTTACATTCACTGTCTGGAAAAAGTACAGCGATTCAGAACTTGTCTGGTAGAATAGTCTCTTAGGGATGGAGGTTTGAGATGACTTTTTGAACTTCAGTGCCAATGTACTATTTTGAGTTTGCTCTTAGGCTATGAATGGAGAGGACACAACACATCTGAACCTCTTTACTTTGTACAGTCATGAGTCACCTCCCAAAAAGCCTTAGAACAAACATGGTTGAACTGCAGAGGAGAAAATATTATCTGTTTGAAAGGCTGAACAAAAAAAGGTTTTTCTTCTCCACTGAGCATGAACAGTCCTGCAATTAGACCCATCAGCTTAACCTTTTAGATCTAATGGGAATGAGAAAATTGTCTTGGAGAGTGATAACAATTGAATTAATTGAAACTGATTGTCTGAAAAAATTACAATGATACATGTGGACGGCAAGCGTCTTTGTACAGACAGCAGCTGCTTTTTTGTGCAGCATTTTGTTCAGCCACTGGTGGATGGTGGTCAAGAGAGTGTTTGCTTCAGTGGTTCACAATAAGGTCATGGAAACAGGCTTGCAAGCTCCAGTTGGGTGCCATCATTAAGAAAGAGAGCATGGTGTTTACAAACAAAACCAGACCAGCCACTGATTGCTATAAAATCTTTCTTTTCCAACAAGCGCATCAGGGTGCTCAGTTTTCTGATGTGGTGGGCTGCTGATGCAAAACATCACAAGGAAACATTGCCTGGGTGAAGGTCTCTAGTCCTTCCTGCAATATGTGTGGAGACAGTCTCCATCCAACACTGTTCAGCTGGAACACAGGATGTAATTCATCATGGAGGCAAACAGTTTGGCCATCAGTTGTCTGAAATGTGTTAGAACAACCCAGCTTCCATATAGTACCCATACTGGTAGATCTATTTAGATGTGGAAGGGCTGATTTGCACTTCTTAACCTGTAAGGCTCTTAGTGTTTTGTTGAATGGTTCATCAAAATCTACGGTGAAAAGCCAGATGCTGTGACAGGGAAGGTCTGCAAACAGCAATGGTGGGGTGATTCAGGGTAGAGTCCTTCTCTGAAAGAAGCCCTGCTGGAATGAGCATTGCCAAGCCACAGTTGTTGTCACAAGACCCTGCATGCAGGCATGTGACCGTCGTGTGACCCTGCATGTTTTGAGATAGTGAGAGCATGAATAGTGGCGGTGATTACTTTTCTTGCTACTCTTTACTTCAAGACCTAATCCTATTTATGTAACAGCTCTGACGGTGTGGGGCCTCATGTCCCCCAACACCCACTGCTCAACATAGATGCATGCAGCAGTCTTGCCAAATGAGACAAGATGACACGGTGATGCAATCAAAGAGGGCATGTGCCCTTAGAAATACCCAACAGCTTTGAGTGAGTTGCTTAACAGCTTCATGAAAGCAAGGAACAAATGGACCCTCTCTGCAGGGGCTGTCACTAGAGCAGAGGAATCTCTGAAGTATTTCTCTTGTAAGAGCTGTCTGATAGCATCCAGACTACTTGTATTCTTCCAGGTTTAACCATGCCCACTCTCCTGAGGAAAGCAAATGTTGTTAGCCTCATTAGACAGAACTGAGCTGCTGAGGGGAGGAGGAGGATGTGTCTACACAATGAAGAGTGGGACCAAGTCTGAACTGAATCATGTAGGACACCAGTTTCACTTCATATTTTCCATCTTCCTTTCAGGTTTTACTATACCCGTTGCCTGCCCTGATAGCTTGCGATCATCACATTCATGTTGCCACAGATATGAAACTCCCCTAAGAAAGTCCACTGATTGGACACTGGTTGATATTTGGATCCAGACATAGCATGACCAAGATGAAACACCAGCCTCAGGGATCTTCAGGCTCCTCAAGACCAGGAAATCCTGTAAAGCCTATTTCTACCATGTGTTATGATGGATTAGTTTGTTCTTGAGGTTGACTTCAGATCCACAGCCTGCTGAGGTATGATCTCAGAGGTACCCATGTCACATGAACATCTCTGGCAAAACTCTGAGTTGCCCAAAGTAGCATTGTAATCACCAAACCACTCACACTATTCCATGGCCATTGGGAAAGCCAGGCAGGCTTTGCAGAATATTACATGTTGAGCCCTAGAGCCACCAAGGTGTCACAAAATCCTTGTAATTAAATATTGTTATTTATTTTACTCAGAGCTCAGTTAGTCCACAGCTTTTACTATGCTATTAATCACAGTGGGCATGGCCAAGTAGCAGTCCTATTTCTCACTTTGTTTTTTTCTTGCTAGCACTAGAATAAAATCATTATTTATTTGTATTTCAGCGAGGACAAAGGACCCCAGAAACCTATTATGTTAGGCACTGCATGAAAAAAGCAAAAAGACATTCCCTGCCATGAGCATTTTAAAAACTGACTATATGATGACACACCAGGGAATGGGTAAGAACAGCAGGAATTGATGATAAAAGCTGGTTGTCTTGGTCACAGAGGTGAGTTAAAGCCACAACCTCGCCATCAGCACCTGGTGTTTAAAAATGAAGGTTGGAGCAGGCAGGAGACTGAACGTGGACTCCAGTCCCTGGAGTTAAAATGATTTCTTAGCCTATAACTCTCGATGCAAAAGGTGGAAACACAGATACAGATCTGCCTTTATTCAAGGGGTTCACTATGAAGGAAAGTACAGAAAAGAAGGATGAATAGGTAGAAATTTTAGGAAATGCTTGCTTTTGATATGTTTCCAGTAACCAAAGCAGACAGCAGATCAGAAACCTAGAGAAAATTTCACAGGATTTGGAAAAGTGAAGATTTCAGGAACACTGCCTCTTTGGGCATATACTTCAGTAGCGTTTTGTGACCACGTCTGTACTGTCTAACTGGAGAAAAACCCTCCAGCAGAGTGAGTCGAGGCAACTTCAGTGATAATGTTCCCCTTCTTCTAATGAGCCTTTTTATTCAGGATTAGAGGAATAACTCAGCTTTGATGACATATCACCACAGTTACATGACTCAGAGCCCTATACTAGCCCACTGTCAGAGCAACAATCTTTAGCTTCCTCTAAATCTAAATCCAGCCACTGCTGGCTCGGCTTTCCTTGGGCTCAAGGAGAGACTGGACACATTCATGGATGGGAAATCATTGAGGGAAATTACAGAAACTACATATAGCTCAAAGCCCCTCAAAGCTGAAATTGGTCATCCACTTGTGGACATGGGGAGAAAGTACTATAAACACTCGTTGTGTTCCCAATCTTCCCAAGATATCCACTGTCTAAGGATCATATGTGGGGCTAGGCTGAGCTTTGGTCTGACACATTAAAGCCATCCCTATGTTTACTTCTTAGGACTATAAATCATGGTGAGCTTACAAGGAGTATTACTTACCAATAAGATTGTGATGTACATGAACAAGATTGCAGCCACAATCAGGAGAACAAGAGACCAGAGAAACCAGAAGCCCAGGTTCCCATAGTTATACCTAAAAGACAATAAAATATTATAATAGTAGTTGTGTTTAACATGGGGACTGGAGGGGAACAACAGCCCTGTTCCTTGAAATTTTGAAATTTTCAAAGCAGTAAAACAAAGAGGAAAGGAAAAATAACATGCCCTGAAATATGAAAAAGTGGTTAAGAGCCTCCTTCCCCAAATCCATTATTATATTAACCACCAGACTAACACTCCAATGTGCTGGGGTAGTAAAATACAGGACCAAACTGATGGCCTTGCTCCAGAGAGCTCCCAGTCTGCCTGCAAGACACAGCACCTTGCTGCAGGCAAGACAGCCTGGGGAAACAGTAAGATGACATGGCTCAGGCCAACAACCCACCTTGTCTGCCTGCAGTTGTGTAGGGCACCACAGAAAAAGGAGATTTAAGTCAGGTTTTGAAGCATTAAACACCAGAAAGCTGGAGGAGCTGCACAGGGATTGCCCAAAGAGAGAAGGAAGCTTTGCTTTTTACTCATAGGCTCAGTGAGGAGGAATAACATTATTACACCTTTCCTCCCCATAATATTATTTGAGCTATTTTAATTTAATTTTAGGGGACAGATTTGCATAACTGTTACCTACATACTGCAGAAGAAAAGGATGTGCATAAATTCCTGCCAGTTATTTCTTACTTTTGAGCCTGGGATCATGCAATTCTCTTCGCAGTGAGATAGCTAGTGCAATGCCTCTGATACCAGCCACTACATTTATTCAGAGTGAACAGAGATGGGGGAAAAGGCTTGGAGAAGGAAAGGAAACAGCTATTTAGTCCCTTTTCACAATTTTTGTGATGATGATTCTTCCCTTTCTCCCTGGGGACCTGCCTGAGGAGTGGGAAAGGAGAAAAAAATGGTACTCACCAGTCAAAGTTATTGTAGTCATTTTTTGCTTCACCCCACATGTACAGAAAGACCAGAGAAAAGCAGAAAGCTCCAACAAGCAATGGGAAAAACACACATTCCCGCTGGAGAGGGAGAGGAAGGACAAGTGGTCAGAGACTTGTTTACCACAAAGCAATCACAGCAAACCATAGATACTTTTAGTCTGTCCCTAATGCACGTGGCTTGATGTTGGACTTCTTGAAGTAAATATGAAGAGGATTTCCCTCCCTGTCCCCTGTGACCAGGGGAATGTCCTCAAAAGTGAACTCTGCAGTATTTCTTTTCAGGGAAAACAGATCTCATGACTTCACAAATGAACAGGATTTTAACCACTTCACATGAGGGGGAATTGCACTATGCAGCAACCCTCTTTGTAATTCTTATGGCACACCCATCCTCAATTTTACTTTAATTTGATCCTCTGGCTTTGAGACGTTTCACTGACTGGGAGGATTTGGTGCAAGGTCCTTTCCTGCCACCACACATTTGTTAGCTACGCGATAGCACAGACAAACTGAGCTTGCCACGGAAACACAGCACTACATCAAGCACTTAGAGCAAAATCCAACAACCCAACAGATCTCAGTGGGCTCCAAATGATGATGGGCAGGGATGCTTTTAGCCAAAGACATCAACCACTTGTCAGCTTGGACTGACTTGTCCCTACACAGAAATCAAATTAGCTGATTTTGAGCTAATTTACCGTCTTGCAGCAGCATTTCCCAGGCTCGGTCCTTCTGCGCTGGTACCGCTTCCATCGGCAGCTGTAAAAACCAGCCAGGCAGGAGATGAAGGGCTGGTGCTCATACCTCTGTAACAAGCGCCGACGTACCACCTTCAGCTTCCCAAACTTGAGCCTCTTGAGGCTGGTGGAACTCGCCTCCATCTGAGTGGCTTTATCTCATCTTCCTCCTGAAACAAGACCACAAGTTTTATGGGGAGACTGTAACCCTCCTTTCCTTTTGAGTTATCTTTTAATATCAGAAAGAAGAGAGGAAGTTTTCCGAAGAAGATGCTGAGACCAGCAGGAAAGGGTGCTGAAGACACCCCACCTAATTTTACAAACTTAAGTGAGATGTCTAACAGAAAAACTTGGCCATTGCAAGTACCCACAGCAGTCAGTGGTGCTCCTGGTTGTAACTTAGGTGCTTTGAATCAACTCGGAGAGAACCTCCACCTTCTTTAGACCATACAGGGAGCTTTGGAAAATGAAATCACAAACTTAAGCACTCCTTGTAGATTCCAAAATTATGTCAGATGAAGCTGAGCCTTGGCTTAGCCATGGGAATTAATTCAACATCACTGTGACCCACCTGCAACCTGCTACCAGTTTAACTAGTTCAGGTAGGAAAGGGATGAACACTCTCGAGGTAAATGTCTCTCTTATCCTGGAAAAACTACAGCACTTCAGAGACTGATCCCTTAAGAAAAAGATATTTCTTGCCTTAAATAGCTTTACTTGGCACAGTTTTTCAAGGGTAGAAAGAGTAGCTGTAAAGATGCACACATGGGACATCTCTTCATAATCAAGATTTTAAACAAAGATCTTGGTGGTAGCTTGCAACTGATGTAGTTAACATAGAAGCAAATAGCACAGGAGTTTGTACCAGCAAAGATCAGTTCACCCAGCAGGGCGTTATCAAGACTGCAAGGAAAGATTTACAAAAGCCTTGTGTGGGCACAGAAAGAAGCACTGTTATGCAGTCCTTCTTTAGAGTATAGAGATATCCAGAGATGTTTTTTTCTGTTGCATTAAAAAGTGCCATCTTATCCTTGAGCCTGTACCAACCATGTTCATACCCAGGCATGTCTGCATCAAATCCCAGTTTGGCACTCCGATTTCCCTGTTTTATCTGATGCAATAACAGTCATTTAAGAACAAAAATGATCAGTTTGCTGCACTGTAGACATGGATGAAACATACACGAATATTTTTTGTGAATAACTTGGAGCCCAGTGTGTCTTTGCAGAAATCAGTGCATAAATCCTTGCAAATTGACACTCCCAAAAAGCTGATCAGTTTACAGAAAATACAAATAAAACAGAGACATGAGACACAAGTTAAAACTGAAATGATGCATTCCTGGTACCCTTTCCAAGTGTCTATTGGCAGTTGGGGTGGAAGGAGAGAGGATAGAAATGAAACAAAAGTGGTTTCTGTTTGGACCACTATTAATTGAGCAGAGCCAAAGCATGCCATGCCCTGAATGCCTTCCTGAGACAGACATGTCTGCCCATCCCAGGCAGTTGCAGGGAATCACATGCTCTTCAATATTGTGGGGTCAAGCCACCCCTAGAAGCTCAGCAGTATCGGATATGGGCACTGGGAGGTCACCTCATAGTAAAAAATTGATGCCAATCTCATGTGGCAAGATGGTGATCCTGCTCTTGAATTACTCAGAGCAAAGACCAGGGTGTGGGCATTATGCCACCTGTGAGTAGTGCAGACGACAGCTGATCCTGATGCCTTCATCAGCTGCCCTTGAGTAAACCTGGCATAAACCCAGCAATTACCAAGTTAGCCCAGCCACGTTGCTGAATATATTTGAACCTTCAGAGCTCTTACCAGAAGGGTGTCACGTGCCATGGGGTTGAAGTATTTATTACCTCCTAGGAGGTAGGATCCCTAGGAGAATCCATAAACCATGAGTTCCCCTATCATTGGACCACAGCACCTGTTCCAACCCTTCTCCTTCAGAAACAGGAGTTAAGGACACTGGACCAGACCCATCGGTTTTGCTGACAGAGGGCCATGAGGTTTGTTTCTCACATTCCTGGTCTAGGCATGAGGCTTACACATCAATATTTACCTATGAGCACATAGGTTATGACAGGAAAACAGAGATAACAGAGACCTCAAAACACTGATCGCTCCATCTGGAAGGTTGCAGCATCGTGTCAGGTGTTAAATCTAAAGGTTAGTCTTCCCCCCTCAAAAATTGCCAGTGATGGAGATCCAACCATCTTCCAAGTCAGGTTAATTCAGCCCAAACTAGTTTCAACATTAAAGTTTTTTCCCAATGTTTAGTCTCCTGTGACACAGTTTAAGTCCACTATCTTCATGCCCTGTTCATGGTGGATATAAAGAATACCTTAAGCCTTTTCTCTGTTATGTATTTCACAACGGTTTGGATGTCTTCCCCTAAGCCCTCTCTAGCCTGAACAACCCCAGGTTTTCTAGTCTTTCCCTGTAGTTCACATTTTCTCCTCCTCAGAGCATCCTTCTATGGGGTCCATAGTCACCTATTTGGGATTTTCCTTGCATTCCCCACGTTTTTCAGCACATAGTAGCCATAACAGGATGTGGTGAACAACTCACAGCCCCTCCAGGGCAGACATGTTCACCCAGAGCACAGGCTACTTGACACTTGCAGCATCCAGTTTCTCTCATGTATCAAACACAACCTTGGCCTTGGTCATCTGAATGCTTAAATAATTCACACTGGACTCACGCCCAGTGGCAAGGGAAAGTTGTTTTCAGCCTTATGCACCAGAGCACTTAAGGGTATCTCTATAATGAAGAATTTAATAAACTTATGACTTGGTCTTCCCATGCAAGTCATCTCTCCAAGCTTGGGGGTTGTTGGAAAAGGGACCCTTCATTCCAGGGGAGGCTGAGGAGGAAAGAAGAGGAACACAGCCTCCTTTCCACAACCACCTCCACCAAACTTTGACCCTCCCAGACTAGCCAGACAAGCAAAAATCTTAATGTCTCATCCCCTGAAGCCCCATATGATCATGTTGGCCAAGATGTTTAGAGTACCACAGCAATAAGCAGCTTCATAAAACCTTCCATATCAAGAAACAAAGAGCATAACCTGTCTCCTGCTTTAGGATCTGGCTTCTACTGTCAAAACATCCATCCACCCCTCTTCCTTGCCCTGCATCTTCTCTTTCTTTGCCCGAAGACCACATCCCTCCTTTCCTAGGTCTCAACAGACAGAGCTCCCTTGCCCAGATGCTCCTCTGCAGCCTGCAAAGTGCCAAAGCATTCCATGAAGGCAGTAAACCTAGACTGAACTTTTATCTTGTTGAACACAGTTGCTTTCTGACATATCTCCACTCGAGTAAATGGAGATATATCATCCTACACGGGACAATCTGGTCTGCTAAGAAGATATGTGGTCCCCACAGGCCAATTATGCTTAGCTACTCAGTGATGATAGGCTGAAGTTACAAAGTGTTTTTGCTACAGACACATTTCAGGAGCTTGGGGTTTTGAAGGCTGTTTGCACCAGGAGAAAAAGGTATGGTTGGGGTACAGGAGCTCTCTGATGCAGTGCAGTATCTGAACGTACAGGGGACAGTACAGCGGAAACTGCAAACAACAGAAGGAATAACATGGTACAACCTCTTTCCTCTTCTTTCAGATGCCAGTCCATGGCTAGGTATCCATCATGGGCTCAGACCTCAAAGAGCTGAATCCAGACAAAGTCCTCAGGGCATGGTGGCACCCAACTCTTGACAAACCTTGGGAAATGGCACTTATGAGGCCTAAGTTCAGGCATCTGAGTTCACAGATTTTACACCCAGGAAACTGATTCTTTGGAGCTGTTTATAAAAAGGAGCCCATCATTCTCTCCGATCCTTTACCAGCTTCTGCTCTTCCTCTCCAACATGAGCTGACTAGGGAATGAACGCTACTGTGGCTGAAGTCCTCCTCTGCTCAAAAGAGAAATAGCTATGCACAAAAGACCTTGCAGTCACCTGCCAGACCCATCCAGAAATACATCCAGAGACCAACAGAGGCTAGAGACAAGGGAAGACAATAAACCCATTGTACCACATCCACTGGGATCAGCAAGCTCTTATCCAAAGCAGAAACCACCCTGCCAAGCCCCAGATCACAACTTGACCCAAGGCTGCTCCTGCTCCCTCTGAACATACAGGGCTCACGTAGGAAATGGAAGACTTTGAGCCACTCTGCCCCACAGTTGTAGGGGACTTCTGGATCTCTGCTGAGGAACAAAGCACAAGACATGGTTGAGGCACTAGACAAAAGGCAGTGCTTGTGTATAGATGCAAAGCAAAGAGTTGGCAGGGATCAGGAAAACCAGGGACAGCTCATCAAATATTTGGGCTACTTCACTCTGAAGTCAGTGAGTCCTAGGAAGAAGTCATCTCCCTCTGCAGCTCTGCAAGATGCAAGTGTCTGTGATGCATTTACACTATGCTGTTGCTGGTATCAGCAAACATTCCAGTGGCCACTCCAGGAGAAGTCCAGGAGAAACCTCTCTTAGCGGTGACAAATCCCATGTGAGGATGAAGAAGACAAACACAAGGGCAGCCAGAAAGGTCCTTCTCAGATCAAAATGCACTAAAATCTCCAGGCACTCCTTTCTTCTCTTCATCTGTGTCCTTCTCACACAGGCATCACTCCTTCCCTTTTACCTTCATGTCTCCTCCCAGGTTCTTGCCCTCAGGTGCACCTCCATGTGTTCAGATAATTGTGTTTAATTTAATGCAAGCTCCCTCCTTACACCTCAGTCACCCTTCAGGTTGTCCATGACCTTCCATCCCATGGTTTCATCCTTGCTCATAAATTACTAGCCTGCTGTTACAGCTGTGATGGCGCATTCAGAAGCCATAACATCTCTCCCGAGGTCTGGCTGAATCTGCAATGCCTCAGACCACAGCAAACATTGCAACATTTGAATTCACAAGAATCTGATCCTAACAAAAGATAATATCTCAACATCTGGACCCAGCAACAACCTAAGGGGCAAACAGCACTGCAATATATGATAGATGCAGAGGCCAAAAGACAGGAGGTCTGCGTTAAGATTTGGAGCAGTTCAGTCATTGTCAGGACATAGCAAGAGGCCTTACACCACAGGAGCAAAGAGCAAGCAGGAAAACATGAATCAGTAGGAGAGCAAAGTTTAGGACTCCTTAGCAAGCGAGCCATGAAA